TAGCGTGTGTGTTTGTGTGTGTGTGTGAGTGTGTGTGTGTGTGTGTGTGGTGCCTCCTGCCTTAATGCGCAGGCAACGCAAATGAACGCTGTAAAGGCCCAGGTGTTATGCAAACGAGTGTGTGAGAGCTGATGGGCACTTCCTGCTGTGAAGATGCCCCAGGAAGCCCCAGGAAGCCCCAGGAAGCCCCGGCACTCTCCATCCAGCAGTGAGAGTTGCATAGATCCAATTCCTTCTCACTGTGTGATAATTGTCTTTTCCTCGCAGTCAGAACCTGTTTATCCAGTCCATTGAGCAGGGCACTTTCGTCAAGCTCAAATTAATTTAAAGAGCATATCCGGTATAAACTCCCACAATAAAAGAGCCTGATTATTTCAAATTATGGCGAGTCACTTAAGGCCGTTCACTGAGTTAAGCTTTCTGTATTTTCTCTATACTTAAACACTACGGACAGGCCTGTATCTCTCTTTTTTTGTGCCATATCTCTCCACCTTTCTGTACTCACTGCTGGAACACGTCGCAACACTTGCGCTTTTATTTTGAAGTAAACAACACGCCACTTCCTGTCTCTGCGCGTTTGTGACTTGACCCCGGAGCAGTGTGGCTCGACCTGAGGCAGGCGGGCAGGCAGGCGGGCGGGGAGAGGGAGTGTCTGCTGGGTGTAGGAGCAGTCTGACGTCTCGTTAGTGTGAATGACTTTTTAAAAAAAAAACCCACTCTGACAACAGCACAGCAGGCGAGACGACCGCGGAAAACTGAGGAACAATTTTCTTTTGTAACTTTTTCCCGCTTCCTTCCTCTCTTCCTCCCACCTGTATGACTGGAGACGAAAGGTAAAAAACAACAACAACTCACGAAATGTACACGTTAATGTGAAGCGTCGGAAAAGTTCCCAGAGCTGATGTGAAGAGCAGGTGCACCGTCTTTATGGCTGTTTTTCTAACGTTACATCGTCGTTGTGAGACTGTAAGTCATCCTCACTAAACGCTGACAGCTTAGCGTGAACTAAACGTAAAGTGTCGTTCATTTATCTCCCTTTCCTTTGTCCAGCAGCAGAGGACACACTGCTGGTTCAACGACTGGGAGTTCATTGTTGACGCGTTTATTAGTAACTTATTAACAACCCGAATTGAGACATATGTCCCCATATAGCGCTAATGTCACCGCTTATTGAGCGTCAGTACATTGCGGTGTTTCGCTCTGTGAAGACTAGACGGACCCCTTTAAGTGGTTGGCTCCTGACAGCATCACTCAGAGAAGTAAAAGAAGAGTAGGGTGCACATCAAAACGGAAGGCACCGAGTGTAAAAGCCTTGGCAGGGCAGCAGGCGCGCAGGGCAAACACAGATAAAGAAACTAAAATCCCACAAGCTAAGGGCTGCTGCAGGATGAGTCCTTCAGTCCGCGAATGTGGCCTAAATAAGCAACAGACATCATCCATCAGCTGCAGCTTCATCTGCTAGACAGTGTTTGTTACTCAGGAATTCAACTGTAAGAAAAAAGAGAGAGAGAAAGAGAGAAAGAGAGAGAGAGGGGGGGGGGGCAGATAGAAACAGGATGAATCATTTAACCTCACTCAGTGTCAGCTTTAGGAGTCCCTCTGATCCCATTACACAATACCATGCACACCCAGAGGTGTTGTGCTGTTTGAGCAGTGCAGCAGAAAAAGATTGCAAAACACACACTCACAATCACATGCAACAAAAACAAAGAAAAGTTCACACACACACACACCGGCTGTAATCTGGAATCAGAACAGTTTATGTGAGGCAGCAGGGATTGATAATGTGAGCATTTGGCTGACACATTTGAACGCACAGTATTAGGCTGCGGGGCGTGGAGTGACCGGTTTTGTGCGAAGGTCTTACAGGTAAAACCAGATGACGTGCTGCATATACAATGCCTGTGGAATCTAGTGTTACACATTTGGAAACATTACTGTTATCTTTCCTGCACGGTGTGTAAATCCCCTTTGTTTGGGAAAGTTGAGTTTATTATGCTCATGTGACAGTGCTTACAGAAACAGCTTGTTTATCTGTCAGGGCTTTCGGTTCAGTTGGAGATCTGGTGTGATTGTGTCTCCCCTGCAGACCATATTGGTGATGTGTGTGGTGACTCATCATGCCTCCTTCAGTCTCTGACAGCATTTCTCCCGTCAACCTGTTTTGGTTCCCATTTTAGTCGTTGTTAATATTAGGTGGGGTTTAAAAAAGGACAAAACTGTCAAAATCACATATTACAACAGTGTAATATCACATTTCTTGTCCGTAAATGTTATCATTTAGCAGTATTTTACTGTTTGTTAGGCTATAAAGACTTTATTTCACAATTTGTTTGTATAATACATTATCAGCTTGTCCTGAAGGGATCTGAGTAGCGTTACCTAATCACACGTCCACAACTGTGTACTGGCTGGGTGAAGTTATCAAAGATCAACAGCCAGAGCGTAGTGACCTGTTATTAGTTAGATATGGCAAATATATTTGGGAGATACAATCTTGAAAGGGTCTAGTATTGATATATTATATTGAAATGTAGTCCGTGTTGCTCGTGGCTTAAAGAAATAGTTTGTCCTTCAAAATTGTGACCAGATGGACAATACAGGGACTGTTGATATACAAACATCACCAATGTGACCACAAAGCCACAAATCCTATGTATCACTTCTCTGTGTTCATTTAGATTGACTTTAAATCAAGTTTTGGAAATCCTGAAATCAAGATGAGCCCTTTACATGAGGCTACTTTACATTACACTTATCCCCCAGGATGAAAAAAGGACATTGTCAGGTCAGATCTTGACTATGTGGGAGCCATTTAAATGGACCCATTTTGTACAAAAGAGCCCATGTTGTTTTATTTAAAAACTAAAGAGAGGAAGGAAGGGGCTTAGGAAGAAAATAAAATTGTTAGTCAGAATAGTTTGTGGTGTTTGTTCAGTGTAATTGATCGCATTATCTTTGCCTCTGCAGAAGTGATGCGATTTACAACAATAGCAACACTGGCTGCATCTCGGCCCAGAGTGTCTTTTTAATGTGAATGTGTAGTTTGCTGTATGTAAACACCTCCTCTTCTCTTCTCTTTCAGTGACTCAGTTATGGAGAGCTCCATTGAGTCTTCACAGACTGGTGGAATCTCAAAACCCAAGCCAACTCTGGCCCCCAAACCTCGGCTCACTCCCAAGCCCTTCTCTCTGCAGAAGAACACCACCATTCGCTCCATCCATGCCCCAAAGACGGTCACTGCAACCTCAAAGACATCAACACAGCAGACTGGAAAATCTGAGGCCACAGGTATCCCCAAACCAACTTTGACCACCCCTGCTCAGCAACCCACCACCTCTGATTCCAAACCCAGCTCTGTGAGTGCGCTCACCAAAGATCAACCAAAAACAAACAAAGAAAGCCAACAAAGTCCACATGGAGAAGACACTCTTGATTCTAGTGTTGGAAAATCAGATCCAGCCCCACAAACCACTCCACCCAAAGAGACACCCAAGTCCAAGCCGATCCAGAACGACGACATCATCGAAACAAACCGCAAAGCACCCGCGGATATTGTGACTAACTCGGAACAGAAAGACGGAAAAAAGGAGGAAGATGAAACTCAGACGTCTGTCGTCCAAAAGCCTGAAGAGTCAGGCGGTGACATTTCCTCTACAGCCAACCCAGCGTATCGGAGGGGCAGCACCAGGAAGCGACTGTCTATGGAGCTCACCTCGAAGTTTGAGTCAGCTGGCTTATCCCTGCCCCCCCAACCCAGTGTTCCCCTCTCTACAACCAGCACCAAAGATGATGCAAACAAGGCAGTCAAGGAGTCTTCAGAACCAGAGCAGAAACAGACAACATCGGAGCCGTCAAACAGAGAGAGTGAGGAAAGTGCACCGAAGGACGATTATGGCGGAGGAGGCAGTATAAAGCGCAGAATCAGTCTTCTGTTTGACTCATCGTCGAGGCCAGAGGTCATAACAAAGAAAGAGGAGCCAGAAATCCTAAATAGTACGAGAGGTGTAAAGGAGAGAATCAAAATCTGGGCCACAGACACAAGCTCTGAGGGTCCGAAGGTGGAGAAGAAGCCTCAGGTTGTGTCCCGAACTCACTCTAACAGGTGAGTGAGCCTCCTTCCATCTGTGCTGTGTTTGGCTTTGTGTTGAGACACGAATAAAAGGATAAGTACATTCTCTTGCAAGTGCAACCAAGCAAGTTTATTTGGTTGATGGCACATAATGGTTGGCTGTTACTGGCCAGGGTTATACTTGTCATTTTAGATTTATCTCTTGTGATCAGAGTCATGCAACCTGTCTACACTAAAGACTTTTAATGTGAACTCCTTGTTTATCTCAATGCTCAATATAATAAGTATTCTTTGGGTACATTTGGTGCATAAATAATTCACACTTCTTTGGAGAGAGGAAGGTTTTTCAGTGGGTAAATGAATAACTTTGCTTGCAATATCAAGATTGTGGCCAGATTTATGTCCTCAAATAACAAAGTTTAGATAAGAGTGCAAACCAGGCCACAATTTGACTGTGAAACTGCTTTCACTGCTTTGAAAATAGTAATACAGTGTCCTCATTGTTAAAGTGATAACAGTTTGAACTAAAACTTCCCAGAGAAGAAACAGAAATTCTTACTTACAGATTCATTTCTCAGAACCGAGCAAATAAAACCAAAACAATCAGAATTTCTAGATACAACTAGAGATGAGTGAACTGTGAATTGTGTGAACCAACCCTTTAAAAGAATAGTTCAACATTTTTCATAATAGACTCATTCACTTTCTTGCAGAGAGCAACATGAGAAGGTCGACACCACTCTAATGTCTGTGTAGTAAATATGAAGGCAGCAGGCAGTTAGCTTAGTTTAGCCTACCTAGCCCGTCTCTGTCCAAAGTCTCTAGAGCTCAGAATTAACTAATATAATAATTAACTAACTAATTAACTGATTCAGTGGGCTTGGAAGTATTGACATGACCTATCTGAGCACTGCCATTGATCTTTTAAAGCAATCAGGATCAGTGAAACCTTTCACCTTGAACTACTGTTATCTCTTCTGTAGCTCTGAGCCAGCGACTCCTCCAACAGCAGAGAAAACACCCAGAACTCCACCTGCTGAACCCCCTGCAACAGTGGCATCGTCCAGTCAGGCGGTGGATCTTCCTTCCAAGGTCTCACCTGCTGAACAACCAACAGAGACCCCCATGGAAACATCCAAAGATGGTCTCACTGAAGTTAAGTCATTGGAAAACTCAAGTGAGACATCTGGACAGCATATAGAGAGCAAATCATCAGAGGGTGATGTCCAACTCCGCAATCGCATCGCATCTACAAGCCACACTGCCACTGAGGGAGACTCGAGTGAGGCTCAGCACACTCTAAAGAGGGACAATGTCAAACGCCGCTCCGTTCGCTTTGGTGTCGTGGAGAGTGATGATGGTGGACCTCCGGTGATCCTGGGCTCAGATTCTGATTCCAGCGAAGAAGAAAAAGAAGAAGAAGAGGCTCCTGAGGATGAAGCTGAGGAGGACATCCCTGTTTCAGTGCCTGTCTACAGAAGAATAGGGGTTCTTCAGAAGAAGGACGACGAGGTGCAAAGGCAAGAAGCAGAACGACTGAAACATTTGGAATTTGAGAGAAAACGGCGAGCAGAGGAGATCAAACAGGCGAGACTTAAGTTAGAAGAGGAGCAGAAAGAAGAAGAAGAAAGGGCGAAAGAAAGGGCAAGGAAGAGGGAAGAGCAGGAGAGGGAAAGAGAGAGGCTGAAGGTGGAGGAAGCGGAGAGACAGAGGAAGGAGGAGTGGGAGAGAGAAAGGTTGAAAGAAGAGGAGAGAGAGAGGGAGAGGCTAAGAGAAGAAGAGATGGAGAGGGAGAAACAGATGGAGTTGGTGTTGCAGAGACAGAGAGAGGAGGAAAGAGAGAGGGCGAAACAGAAAGAGGAGAGACTTAAACAGGATCAGGAGGAGAAGGAAAAAGAGAAATTGAAGGAGGAGGAGAGAAAAGAGAAGAGACTGAGGGAGGAAAGAGAAAACCAGCGTCTGAGAGAGGAGCAGAAGAGATCGGTTCACGAACACGAGGAACACAGAGTGGAGGGAAAACTGAGAGAGGAGGAAATGAATAAAGAGAAACAAAGAGAGGAGGAGTGGGAAAAAGAGTGGGTGAAAAAGACTGGGAGGTTGGGAGAAAAAGAAGAAGAGATGGAAAGAGAGAAAGAGTTGGAGATGATGTGGCAGAGACAGAAAGAGGAGGACATGGAGAGGGCGAGACAGAAAGAGGAGAGACTCAAACAAGAGGAGAGGGAGAAGGAAAGATTAAGAGAGGAGGCAGAGGAAAGAGAGAGGCAGAGGAGGCTGAAAGAGCAGCAAGAAAAAGAGATGGAGAGAATGAGGCAGATAGAAATAGAGAAACAGAGAGAGGTGGAGAGGAGGGAAGAGGAAAGGAAGAGGCAAAAAGAGGAGGACATGGAGAGGGCCAGACAGAAAGAGGAGAAACTCAAACAAGAGGAGAGGGAGAAGGAAAGATTAAGAGAGGAGGCAGAGGAAAGAGAGAGGCAGAGGAGGCTGAAAGAGCAGCAAGAAAAAGAGATGGAGAGAATGAGGCAGATAGAAAT